GTGAGTGGAATTAATTCTATTCAAGTAGTTTATGGAAAAACTTCATACGCTTAAAATAACCTTCAGGCTCATATTACCACTACAGACAATGTCCTCAGGGTCAACAAGCAAGCAGCTCCTGGTTCTTCAGCTAGGCAGATCTTCCACGTGGTAGACAGGTATGTTTAGCTCCTCTAGGCACTGCCTGGCTTGCTTTCTCTGCCTCCCATATAGACTTTTGTAGAAAAGAAATTCTCAAGCTGAAGGCTAGAAATATGCATAAGCCTGCTAGGAGTATTTACCTTTTCCATAATGTTAAACAGAACGTGAAGAACTGTTGAAGAGAACTCCAAAGCCGGTACTACCTCTAAGCTTTATAAAGGCAGATGCGAAGACTCATCTTAACGATGCAGATGGCAGAATTCCTCTGCAGTCTACAGTTACCAGGATTTTTATTTCTACTGTTAAAAAAAAAGATGTAGATAAAGAATTACAGGATGGATCACAGATATAGAAGAACATGTGGATATCAATCTAGCATTAGGGTTAGCGTGCATTAGTTCATACACTCCTGACATTTAAGGAACTATTTGCACTTAACTTTAGATGAAATTAACTAAAACCTTTTCCAAAGAATGAAGCTTGCTATTTTTTTTCATTTATTTTTATTACATTAGTTATGGCATGGGAAAAGCCCAAAAGGTTTTCTTTGCAGTATTTCTAATTCAATTAAGAGCAAGAACCAATTAAAAACTCACAAATGGTTTCCCATGAACTTTTAGACTGAATCGTCAGATAAATTTAGATTCTCAATGCAACCTAATTTGATTTCAAAATGTTCTGGCCAAGTTTTTTAGAAATAGATGCCTATAGGTAGGATGTTGTCTATATTTAGGTATCACAGAGGAAAGGTCCACATTTCAAAAGTTCTGTGCATCTAAGTACCCACAATAAATCAACATGAAAAGCTGCAGTTCAGCTCCCTTTCGATCAGACAATTCTTGTAAAGATCTACTGCAAAGGATACATAAATGACTATTTTTGTCTTCCTTATGATCCTATAGGTATAAGCTATGTATAGAGTTGATAGAAATGTATGCAATATGGATTTAAGACCATAATGTTTGACACAATTTGTAAAAATCTCATTTCAAAATTTGTGCAAGCATAATTAGAGCGACTGTAGAAATTTATCGAGATTTCAAAGGAGAAACTCAGTCATTTTTCAAGGAGATGCCAGTACTCAATCCTGAGGTATTTCTGCCTGCCATCCTACTCCCAATTTATTAATGCAAACAGAACAGAACATCACTGAGGAAGACACTCAGTCAGACTGAGCTGATCTCCTTATCCAAACATGGATCCAAAAAAACTACCCAGTGCATGTGTGTGTGTGTGTGTATGCACACATATAGAAAGAGTGAAACAGAACAGTTAATCAGGAAAGACTGTCCTGAGATGTTTTTGTGGAAGGTTGAATAAATGGGAATGTTTGGCCTGCTGTGAGAAGGGAGAGTGGGATTACATGTTTACTTGCTGCTGAAGAACTGGAGATATTAGCCACAATGGAAATTTACACCTAACAGAAGTATTTTTTGGTCAGCAATGGCCTGCAAGGAAAAAAAGAATGGTGGAAAATCTCATATCAAAAGTTTTGCAGTTATACTTATTACCAAAGCTATTTTTAAAATTATGAGTTAAAGTCAAATTATTACTACATTCACAGATTTTTGCAATACAGATATTACAAAGAATAGAATCTGAACACACTCTAATTATGGTTAGGGTCATGTACTTGACAGTATTGCAAACGAAGATAAATGGACAAAATTCTGTAAGCTGTGAAAGAGATGTTAGGAATAAATGAATAATGTTTACAAAACTTCTTAAAATTTCTGAAAGCACAGATACCATTTTAAATAGTTAATTAAAGTGGATGCATTAAATGCTGAAGGTAACTGCTTCTAAGAGCAAGATGATGAATTGAACCTGCTCAAGACCACAGAAGAGGTACTTTGCCTGTAATCTCTGTACCTTTTATTACGTATCCCTTTGAGGCAACCCCATGGCTCTGTAACTCATTTTTTCTCTTCTAGTATGGATGCCTACTGATTTGGTCCTACAGACATCTATCCTCCCAATGTCGCACTAAAAACCAGATGGCAGGCATCTCATAACTGGTCTACAAACACAATTAAAACTTTATGCTAGAGGCACCATTTTCTTCAGTATCTTCTCTTTCTGCTGGATCTGGGTCAGGCATCCTGTACCAAAGAAACACACACATGGACTTTCTTTCATGGAAAACCTCTCTTATGAGAACAGAAGTGTCTCTGGGTGACTCTGTATATCTCTAGGTTTTTGTTCCTAGACCTACTGCTGAGAACCTGCTATATAACTACCTGTTCCTTACACATCTCTTAGTTTACTGAATCCTGCAGACTGCCTTTTACTGTACAGCATTTTTACTGTAAAAACACTTTCGGAATTAGCCTTAGCCCACTGATGTGGGTTGATCCAGCCTGTGTCAAAGGCATGTAGAATCCGGCAGTAGAGTTCTGTAGTGCTTCAAGAAGGTTTGTTTTTGACAACCCATGGCTTTTCTTGCATTAGGCTAATCCACTGAATCTTCTCCTTCCTATATTATATTTAGATGAAGAAAGAAAAGTTCCAGATACGAGATATGCTTCCCATTTAATATTTTCCTCTCAAAATGCAGCTTGGATTTAGTAATTAATCAGTGCTATCCTGCAGAGCCCGCAGACTATCATGAACACTTAGATTAGACAACCCTCATTTTTCCTCGAACTCAGCCAAGGCAAGCCAAGAAACTGAATTTACATAAACAATAAAAAGATTTTACTGTGCAAGTTCATAAATTCTGACAGTTTCATGGAAGAAGACACTTGAGATGAGTTAAGAAGCTTTAACAACCCTACACAAAGGCAAGTACACTGGCTGAAAAAGCAGCCAGCATTCTGGAAATGACTAATGATGTACTACAGCACAATTCTGCTAGTGAATGCTTCAGCTTCTACTGCATAACTGAAGTGCAGCAACAGGGTATAATAAATGCAGGAGTGATTCTTTGTGAACATGTGGCATATCTAGCTTCTGGGTCTATGATATTATTATTAATCCTGTTCACTGAGTCTTGATATTGGATGATTTAGTTTTTTCTGGCTTAATAAGCAATAGATGCAGTCTATGAAAGATAGGTAACTGCAGAATTTGCTTTCTCACCTCAATTGGCAGACGCTACAACAGTCCTTCTAAAGGCATATATTAACACTGCCACTGCAGCTATGTAATGATATACAAATCTTTCCAACTAGTTGGAAAATACTTTCTAAAAAAATACCTGCAAGCAGTATGGATCCGTTTGGTGGTGGTATCTGTCTGAACACAGATCACATACATCTGTCTTGTTTATGAGGCAAAGACCATGAAGGATTTTCACTGAAAGGCAGTAAACACATTTGACTATGGTTTCAGTCTCTTCCGTCTCATTTTGAGTTTGTTTATCGAAGATGTGTGGCCCAGTCTGAAAGAAATCCAGAAACTTTTGCCAATGAGTGGAACAGAACGATTTTCTAACGATGGTAAGTCTTCCTCTATACTAGGCTTAACCTTGCCATTCAGATGGGATACCTTAAAGCTAAACAGCACCTGACAGATCAGTAGATCATAACATCTGATCAACTGAAACTTGGTCGCTGGAAAGATCACACATGCTAATTTTCCATCCGATACACATGGCACTGTTAAAAGAAACAAGGACTTAACAAAACACATTTTCAAGTGGGGAAAAGCTGAGAATGAAGCAGCATAATTATCATTTTGGCATTAACTCTGTACAAGAGACAAATTCAGCATATCCAGCAACGAGAAGGAAACTAAACTGGTTCTCAAAGACTCCAAGTCTCATTCTCACCTCTGCTCTGATTTGTCACATCAACTTTCAAGTCAATATCTGCATCTGTAAAATGAAGTTGATTTACAAAATACTCAAAATTAAGTTGAAATTTGAGAATGATAGTACTATACATTACTACTACATCTATCCTACAGAGATATCTTCCCTATCTTACTGTTAATATTTACTCTATTTACTCTGTAATTTACTCTATGTTGCTGTTTCCTTAAAGATTAAACATTAAAAAAATCTTAAATGGCAAGAAGCAGGAAGAGTTGTGCAAGCTCATTTGTGAACCAAGCAGAGATTTCTCTATCTTGCTTTTCATCTCTAGAACAAGTTCCTACAGGAATCAAGAGACATAATAAGCATATATATTTTCTGGGAGGGACCACTCATGCATTTTATTAAACAAACTTTCAGAAGTGCTTAAATTCTTCAAAGATAAAGGCAATATAAGACAAGCTATCAGAGAAGCTGAACTGCTTAACTGTTACAGAGTTGTTTAAAAAACGGTCTTTGTGTACCTAACAAGGACAAACACTGGGGACCAGACTTAAACTAGTTATTAAGAAAAACTGCAATGCCTAAAGTGATTTTTCAAACCAAGTATAAAGATAATTTCTTCTGGCATACCTGTGAAAAAATATCTGTGTTTAGTAAAAGTAAAGAACTCCAACTCAGAGATGGTTTGAAGCAAATTTGAAAGCATTTATTATAGAAAGAGACCATAAATTATAATTTAAATCAGTATTTTATAATATAAAATCAGTATTTTTTCAGCATGTCTAGTTTTAAATTGTTTGTAATTTTTCCCTCATGTAAAAAATAAATCCATATAGCAAGACAGAATTGCAACTAGACACAAATTGGAATACTTTTTTACATGGCAACTTGCTCAAAATTAAAACTTCATCATGAATTGACTATCACCTACTCTTTATTTCAGAAATAAACTTAGGGGAAAGCTAAGGTCATTTAACGCATTTCAATTTTGTGTTAGAATAGTCTTGATCAAGAACCTTATTATAATAAAATCTGAAAACTTAAAATATATTTTTCAGTGTGAATATATTACTGCTTCAACATTTTCATCTATACAAATTTAGTTGTTACTTATGGCAACATAATTGGCTGGAAAGATGCCAGTTTGTCCTCCTATTCTTCCTTCCCACCAATCAAACTGGGAATCTGTTTTGGTTGTGACTGTAATTTTGTCTCCAGCTTTGAAAGTCAAATCACCTGGTTGTTGTCCTTCAAATGAATAAAGTGCTGTCACTTCTACTGGATTACTCCAAGAGTTACCTGAAAAGAAAGACATTGAATAAAAAAGAAATTACTAAACTGCACATACAGTAAATCCTTAAATACAAAATTCTTAAATGACAGTAGAAAACAGTGACAAAGACACCAAAATAATTTATCTGAGCATATAAACCACTGATGAACAAAACCCTCCATTTCCACTACATTCTTAGGTAAGTGAGATTTGGATTCTAGCCTATCAGCACAGTCTATTTAATAAAGTAGTACTCTATACAAAATAAAGGTCAGCAATTATTTCTATATGCCTCATACGGTCAAACAGAGACAGTGGGAACAAGAGCAGTGTGTTGAAGAAAATGTGAGTGCTTCCTGAAAGACTGCCAACCAGAACCACTTTTGGGTTTTAGTTTGGTATGTGTTCTCTCTGACAGTTTCTTCATAGAAACTGCAAAACTTAAGGCAAGGATCTGATTTTTTAATCAATACTCAGGATATAGGATGGTAAAATACAGAATATCTACAGCACTTCCCTTCTCTTTCCACAGTGTCTAGGATTCTGGTGTATCTCCCATGTTAAACAAAACACACAAACTGTGCTTGTGGAAAGAACTGATTATCGTTTGATGTACTGGAAGTGACTTGGCTTGCAGAGTGGTATTTTATACCATATATCCAAATGGCTTTTATTCTCTTTCCACCAGAACTCTTTCAGTCCTTAGTTGGGGTTGGAATCGTGCCATGAGTCTTCTGATCCAGTTTTAAAATCATCTAAGTCTTGGATACCATTATCCAGCCTCCATTCCTGTTGACACTTTTTTAGCCAACATCTCAATGTTTATTGCTATTTAACTTCTAATCTAAGTGAATATCTTCAATTTGCTAATAATTATGTTTGCTCTCAATTCCTTTAACTGTCTGAAGTACACCAGGTAGTTGCATTTGTTTAACGTTGATTTAGAAAACAGTTAAATCTCTCACATGAATGCATCAAAAAGTGAAAAACGGAAGGTGCAATAGAAGATGAGTTAAGAGGAAATAATGAAGACGCTTACACGGTCAGGTGGAGAGATTTCAGGATCTGTTGCTTATATGGACATGATGGCTGCACAAATGCTCAAGCATGCAAGGTTAAAGGCTTTTAGCATTAGCTGCACCTGCTTGCTGCCAAAACTGTGTTGCAAAAGGGGAAACCCAAGCTCTTCTTAAGTCTACACATTGCAAGTACACAGCTAGAAAGGATGGTGAGAGAAGCACTGATACAACTTTTTTTTTTTGGCAGTCTGTCATCAACAAGTGATACCCACAGAACTTTGCTTTTATCACTTCAAAAGAAAGAGGAAAAATCCTTTTACCCCAAGCCTCCCAAATACAAACTGCAGCCAAAACAGGACAGAGAATAATAATGGACTACAACTGTATGCATAAACAGCATAGATTTTTTTTCCAGCATCTGCCAATATATATGTTCATTCCATAGGCCAGTTCTTTCCCTTCATGATCTGCATTTGTAGCAATCATCAAAGCTTAATACAAAATTATTTGACCATGTGCTGGGAGAGTGTTGGTTGCAGAGAAGTCAAATGCTGTCTTCCTTGATCACACAGTCTCTCTCTCCTGACATCCGTATTCATGATCTAAAGTCACACACCACTATTTCTTTTGATGTGAAAACAAAACCAGATGAGAATAGCCATGTTTATCAGGTCTTTATCTCCATCAGCCAATCCTACCAAAAAAAGGCAACAATATAACTTTTCTAAATATTTTTTTTACTTTCAGACTTGAAACCCTGATAGACTGAGTATTCAGCAATTACATGATCTTCCTCCAAGAATTCAAGCATTTGATGCAGCCAGGATGACATGATGTGTTCCCATGCAAAGTGTGGTTTGAAGCTAGATATTTTTATGGAGGAAATCATAGCAAAACCCACAAAAGATGCTTTGACTTTTTACTCCTAGTTTTAATTGAAGAACAGTAAGAAAATACTGTGGCTCAGGCCTCTCTAGGTGCTAAGGCATGAAACCAGCTATGACTCAGTTGCATATAAAAATGAAGAAGGGGTGTGTTTTACCCCTGTGCCACATTCAGGCAGCACGCAGGGGTAAAAGTGCATTTTATAAGTTACGATGAAGGCTACAAATTCTTACACTTTAAGTCCTTAACCACACCTAAATGTTCAAATGCATCATCACTCAAAGAGAATTAGAGTTACTATATATTTATAACTGCCCAAGTTAGTACACTTGGAAAAATTAGATAATTGACAGCACAAAAGATGAGACTGAAATTGCTAAAAGTGACGATGAGAGTTTCTTTTCATTACATTCAACAAAAGGACTGTCATCACCACTTTAATACGCCAGATGCGTAACAATGGCAGCAAGTAATAGTTACTTCCTCCATGGCTGAACTTGCATTAAGAGTAAGACTACAATTACTGTTACACAAACTATTGAGTATACTGAAATTGGCTCAGTAAAAGTAGGAAGAAAAATGAAGGGAAACTAGACACAAATTAAAGCATGAAAAGGTGGAACAAAAGAAGTGTGCGTGAGATATTAAAGTGAAGGATTGCATTCGATGCACCACAATCATGCCTCCGATTATTGTTTGCTCTGTCAGATGAACAAAATTGTTTTATGCATTTCCTTTCCCACTTTTTGCCCCCTGTATGTGTATCTTTCCAAACATACAGAAACCTCAAAGCACTACAGCTGATTATGAACACTGAGTTCTGTGTCCTTGCCCCATTTGCTACCTGCTATGATTTAAAAGCACTTTCCAGCTTTATTCCTGTCAGCTATTTCACAACAATTCCTACTTAATTCTCCCTAGCAGCTCTTTCCCATACTTTAGTTTCATTTTATTTCTCACAAAGGTTCTAATTTCTGTGCTTTAATTCTGTATTTTTGCAGCATAAAACAGATAAAATGCATATTTATTGCCTCCAGATTGCTGCATCCCATGCCTCATATTTATATGGATCATCCTAACAAATAGGTTTCTTAAATGAATACACTGCTAATAAACCTACCACATATATTATAAGGGGGAGCTATTTCATGTTCTTGTTTCTCGATTTCAGGCGTTTTAAATAAAATTGTTATAGTCAACATGAAGATTGCTGAATGCTTGTATTGAAACCACATTTGCAGCTCACACAAGATGGTGCTACAGTGCTACATACAGCACATGATACTGAAATCATTGAGATTTATGAGTATGCACACTGGAATAAAAACAAATTACATTGTGGAAAATCCTTAATTAATGGTATCTGAATACACACAGCACACTTCTACAAACACAGTGGTCAAAACAGAAATATAGACATTTGGGCTGAAGATCAATTAGTGCAGCAGTCAGCATACATATTCAGTGCTCTAACGTACATGGGTATGGTGTATGCTGGATAACAAACTGCTCTGACCACAATATCCTTTCATTTTTATTCATCTTTACATACCATAATGATTTGAACTTTTTGCTAAGGACTACTGCTATGGATTAAAGACCTGATGGGCTATAAACTAGAGTGAATTTACAGCCTCTTGGGCATGCCGCAGTACCAGCCCCAGAGTGAATGAAGCAGATACATCGGCTACTTTTCTATTAATCGGTTGAGGAATGCCAGAGCATTTCTTTGACTTTGAGGCCAACTGGCATAGACTGGTCACAGACATACTAGCAAACACTCACCATCCAGAGAGGAGAGCCACATCCAAACTACCTGCTGGTTTCTACACCAGAGTAACTCCTAAACCGTATCTATGAATTATCTGGGAAAGTGCTAGGTGAGAATAACACCAAGGAACTTTCTAACAACACAACCACATAGGTAACTGAGTTATAGTTCGTGGGCCCATGCCTTCACACTGTTTAATTTACTAGGAGATGTAGCCACTAGTTTCACATTCTAATGTGAACCTATAAAATATTAGTAAACCCATAGGCTGATGCTAAGACTGGTTTTTAGAGAAGAACAGGCATTTTACATCATTTTGGGTTCAGCTTATTATGTTTTTAAAAACTAAATCTGAGTTGGAAGACAGAATAGTAAAATCCAGTTGTGGGTCCCAAATTTACTTTTACCAGCGTAGATGTATATATCCCCTAGCCACTGAATATCTGATGCTGAAGAAGGATATAAAAACTCTAAAGTGCTGCTTTTGGCCACTGACACAGCAATAAAACTAAAATAAGTTTAATGTGTTTGAGGTTAGTGGGGAGATTGCTCAATATCCACTTTGCAAAATTCACTAATTGTCAGCAATTAAAGAGCTAGCATGATTTTGTGGGTCATATGTGCACCTATATGATAGAAACTATAAGTGAACTAACACAAACTATTACTGCCTGTTTTGGGTTCATCTAAATCATATTAAAGAGCTTGGCAAAAAGGAGCCCTGTGACTTAATTATCACTGCCAACAAGCCATCTGAGCAAGGGTACTGATGACTGACAGGATAATCCTGTTGTTGACTGTCCATATATTATGCACTGTCTGCTAAATCTCTACTTTGGTAAATGGGCTGTAGGTCTGGTTTCTTTTGAAGTTGAAAGGTTATAACATTGTTTCCGTTGGGATGGAATACACCATATGAAAATGTGATTGTCTAGGTAGACACATTTTTCCCTGAAACTGAATAGTCTATCTTACTCAATTTTTTTGTGCAACCTTTAGAATGCATGGCTATAGGTTTTCTTATTTAAAAATCAATCTAAATGGGCAACACATTCAACCTACTAACTTCTACTTTCTCTGCATTTTGTAAAGAAGGAGAGAGAAATGACTGGAACTGCCACACAGAATGTTAAAAGTCAGATAAGTCTCCAGCATCAGAGATGACAGAAGTTGTATAGTGCCGGCGTAAAAGCTCCACCAAAAAGTGTCAGTTTACAGAAGAGCTGTAATAGAGTTCTCATTGGTTAAATAGAGACCTAGAAAAGTAAGCAACCACATGAATCCTGTTTGTGCAGCAGAAGTAAGAGAAAACCAACAAACAGACCAAATGATGGAAAACAACTAGTGGATC